TGACAGGGATCCATCTTCACAGCAGTGGGCCCAGTGTGCAAAACCCTGACTCGGCTTTAGTTCTCTGCAGCTTGGCGCTCACCTGTGTTATGTACCAAGTGCATCCCGGATTCCCTGGCTCCACACGTGGGACTTCACACCGCAGTAGCACACTTTAGTTGTTGGTTAAATTTTGGGGAAGTCTAACAGAGGGATTCTGTGAGTCACTGACTTCATTTCTGTAATGTCCTGCTGAGCAACTCCAGTTTTCCCTGTACACAACAGGGCAAGTTTGGATCCTGAAATCTACCAATCTGTAATGTCCTGTGTACCCGGGTAGTCTGCACAGGGCACTTGGTGGAATTCAGGAAAAAGACGAAATGTCACAGCCAGGTATTCAGTCCTGCTTTACTCAAACACAAATTTACCCAACACAAATAAGACAAAAAATCACAGTGAATTACAAAATGTGACAAATGACAGAGGTGCTCCAGAATGTTCTTTTGTCAGCGACTTCTTTCTCACAATGAACTATAAATTCAATGTGTAATGAAAAAGTATTTTAACTAAAGTCTAGAAAAACCATCACTAGTGGAGAAATGACCTTCTGTAGTTAAGAGATATGATCAAACAAGCTTACAATGAAGTTCAGTCAGGACCAGGGACATACTTCCTGCCTCACACAGGAGGAAAACCACTGCCAGAAATGTTTGGGGACACAGACCAGCCCTCTTGCCTACAGCCTGCTTAATGTAGCATACCACACTAGAAGGGAAGTTGTCTCCAATTTCTTGGTTTTATTTATAAACGGGCATTGGTTATTAGAATATGCTATGCAGGCATTTATCATGCTCACATTTATCATGTAGTCTCTGTTCCCTACATATCTTTTGTTCATATTTTTTTTTAATTAACTGAAACTTTATTTCAATCTAAGAAAGCATATGCTTGACAATTTTGAGTATACAACATTTTTGTGTTGATACACTTACTGCTTTATATTTTTACTAGGAGGTTGAATTTGTACAACTTGAAAGAACATACATTTGGAAATTCTGGGTTTTATGTGTAACAGTATATTTTAATAAACTTGGTATTTTATTGAATGTCTTAGAAAGTGGTGGCATACTTTTCATATGGATTCTGGCTATTCTTAATTGAAAACTCCATCAAATAATTTTATTTCTACTTCTATAATGTTAATGTATTTAATATTATAGTTTTATATATGAGTCACGATTCGTGGTGGGAGTGTTTGACTAATAAAGCAAAAGACTTGAGAAAGGGAATTCTTGACTGAGCCCAGGGATCAAAGGTGTTAACCAAGCCTGCCAATGACGGATCCCTTCAAATTCCTTCTGAAAATGTTGCCAACTTCTGTAATGTTAGGTTAGCAGAAGTAAGTTGGTAGCATTACTTTAGTATACTGGGGTGTGATTGACCTACAGGATTGTAAACATTTGCTGTTCCACTGTAATTCATAGGTTCTCTGAATTTGGCGTTTATGGATTAGCCTACCTAGGTAGCCCACAATCCCCAGTGATGATCCTGTCTGCCTCTATGACCCTGGAATTACAAGGAGGGTTACAGAAATAGAGATGGTGGAATACTTGTAATACCTACTATGGCAGGAGAATCCAGAGTTTGAGGTCGGGTGGGCTACACTGAACACTGTCAAACAGCCGCCCAACAACAATGAAAAACCTGAAACCAGTGAAGATCCCTTATTTCTATAGTACAGAAATGGATACAATTTTTAAAAGATATTATCACTCAAAACGTCATACAATTTAGAAAAAAATTATTTATACAACTTATAATCTTTTTACAATCTTTTACAGACAAAACCAGAAACACCAAATCCAAGTAAATTTGAAAATTTTCAGTATGAACAATTTCAACAGAGTCCTTTAGATGCAATTTCTTTTGGGTTCACTGCAACACTTTTTGTAATATTGTATGTTTTATAGATGCCAATAAGTCTATCTGAAATCTCAAACATATTATTTCGAAGAGAGATTATTATGAACTGGGCATTTTTTGTTTGCTCATATATGTAAAATGCAACAATAGACACATTTTTAAAATCCAGAGCTGCATCAATCTCATCCATGAAGTAGAGGGGAGTGGGCTTGTAGTGGTGAAGAGCAAACACTAAGGCCAACGAACTAAGGGTTTTTTCACCTCCTGAAAGGTTAAAGATCTTCTTCCAACTTTTCTTAGGTGGCCGAACACTGAACATGATTCCTTCAGAAAAAGGATCTAAACTATCCACAAGCTCCAGTTCAGCATCCCCTCCCAAAGTGAGCATCTGGTAGTTTTCTTTTAGTTTATTTGTTATTACATAAAAACCAGCCATGAATTCATTCAGCCTTTGTTTTCGAAGATCTTCATATGCTTGTCTAAAATTATCTCTTTCAGAAGTAATTTTGTCCAGTTCAGCTACTCTTTGCAAATATAAGTCTTCCTTTTTTTTATACTCAGCGACGGCACCAAGGTTTGGTTTCATTTCACGACACTGAGCTTCCAAAAGTGCAATTTGACTTGTTATAGAATCTGGATTCTTGATTGCCTCAAGGTCCTCTTGGCTTAGAACTGATACTGTCTCAACAGGTTTATCTTCAATGGGATGCAATTTTATTTTTGAAATCTAAAGAGAATTGAGAAGACGTAAGAACAGGTCGTTTATTTTTATTTGTGCATTGGTGTGTTGGTGCATACAAGTGTGTAGATAGATGCCATATACACCTAAGAGAGCACCAGATCCTGTGGATCTGGTGGAGATAAACCAGTTGATATGGGTGCTGGGGACCAAACTGGGTCCTCTGCAAAAGCAGCAAGAGCTTGTAACCACTGGGCTATCTATCTCGACTGCTCCCAGCTTAAGTCAACAGCATGAAAAATGACAGCTACAAAAACAGTATAGGAATGAACAGACATAAGCTCCGGGGTGGGTAGGTACCTGCCCTATTCTAATGATTACTAATTTCTATCTAATAATTTAGTCTTATATCCCATATAAATGTGAAAACATTTATAATCAGAACATATTTTAATAGAAAAACACCCAAAAAGCTTTATTATTATCTATGCATTGATGTATGGTCACCACAGATTCTCTTGAGTTAGAACTGTTGTGATCTGTCATGTGTTACCAGGAATCAAATCTGGGTCTTCTACAAGAGCCATCTCTCCAGCCCCCGAAAAAGGTCTAAAATTAATTAAATGCCAGAAATCTTACCTCTTTTTGCCAGTATTTTATTTTTGAGTTATGTTCAGAAATGTGGCCATCTATCTGCTCAAGTTTTAACTTAATACTAAGTGCATCTTTCTGAAGAACATGTTCATTTTCTTGAATAACTTTTAGTTCCTGAAGTAGATTACGATGTTCTTTCTGGATTTCTGGTAAGGACATCTCTGCAGTTTTTGTGTTTTTTATGACCTCTTCTGCATTGTCTTCAATATTTTTTAGTTCTGTTTTTAAGTCATTTATTTCTTTTTCAGTGTCTTTTATTTCTTTCTCTGTGTTGCAAACAGAATCCTGAGCCTTTTTAAGATTTCTATCAGCAGTCTTGATTGCGACTTGGGCTTTGGTAATAGCAGAAGCACATTCATCCAGCTGCTTATTTATTGTGTCAAGTTTGTTTTGTTGGGCCTTGAGTTTTCGATTGTTGATATCTATGATGGTATCGTGTAGCCGTTTAATCTCAGCTTCAACTTTCCCAGCTTTCTTAGCCACAGCATCATATTCTTTTTTGAAAACATTAACATTTTCTTCGAGCAATTTCTGCTGCTTTTTGTCAGGGGCTGTAGTAAGCACATTAGCTTCCAGCTCTTTAATCTGTACACATAAATATTCTTCTTGTTCTGATAAACCCTGGATGCTTGCAGTGAACTTTTCTAGTGTATTTCTCATTTCTCGTTCACTATGCCTTAACTTAACTACTGCTTCTTCATGTTGTACTTTCTGTTCTTGGATTTGCATTGCTTGTTTAGAATGCCGTTCCAACTGGGATTCCATCTTATTTACCTCTTCTACAGAGATTTCATCGATAACTGAAGAACCCATTCTTCCTTTCATGACTCTGCTTCCACCACCAGTCATTGTACCTGACTGTTCTATGATCTGGCCCTGTAGAGTTACTACTCTCCATCGCCTGTCTTTTTGATACGCCACTCTTGTAGCTTGATCCAAATTGTTAGCCACCAAGGTATCTCGTAAAGCAAAGTAAAAAGCCTGGCGGATTTCCTCATTTTTTACTTTTACTAAATCAAATAACCGAGGAGTATTTTCAGGAGTTTGAATTTTGCTCATTTTTTTGGCCCACACTGCCATCTTATCCAAACCTATGAAAGTTGCAACTCCAATATTATGTTTTTTAAGGAAGTTTACACATTCTTGGGCTGTATCAATAGAATCAACAACAATGTAGTCCAATGCATGGCAACAGGATGAAATAGCAATGTCATATTTTTCATCAATAGCTCCTAAGTCTCCCAATCTTCCATATATTCCTGGGATCCTCCCTGATTTTTTTTCTTGAATTATTGCATCCAGTACTTTGCCCCTACTTCGATTCATTGCTAAGGAACTCTTTGCTTCTTCAACTTTTTGGAAAAGATCATGAACCAAATTTTTTAAGTTTATTTCTTCTTGTGTCAATTTCTGAAGTTCTTTTTCTTTCTAAAAGTGAGAAGATGAAACCTCCTTTAATTCTTGTTGAGTCTGAGGGAGGTTTGTGTTTATATCCTTGATTGCAGCTTTCCTTTCCTTGAGAGTCTCAGAAGCTGTAATTAAAGCTTCCTTTGCCTTATTTAATTGAGATACTGCTGTATTATGTCGACTGAGATAGATATCAAGTTCAGACTGGGCGACTTCCATCTTCGAACGTGCTTCATTTACTGATTTGTTAAAACCCATAAGTTCTTTTTCTTGAATCTCCTTTTCTTTCTGAAGCCCCTGTGTTTCCTGTTTAAGGCTGTCCATGACTTCTTTTAACTTTTTTTCTTCTTTCTCTCTTTCTTTCTCAAGAGAATTGTTCCTAGTTGTTGTCTCATTTATGATATTTTCACTCTTGGCAGGTATACTTTTCAGCTCTTCAACCTTTTATTCCTGAAAATGAATGTTTCAGGGCTGGAGAGCTGACTCAGCAATTAAGAGCACTTGTCACTCTTCCAGAGGACCAGTCCCCTTACCCAGATGCTCACCACTGCCTGTTATTCGAGGGAGATCCAATATCCTTTTTTGCACACTCACACACACACATAATTAAAAACCTTAAAATAAAAAGCTAAGGGCTGGAGAGATGGCTCAGTGGTTAAGAGCACTGACTACTCTTCCAGAGGTCCTGAGTTCAATTCCCAGCAAACACATGGTGGCTCACAAGCATCTGTAATGGGATCTGATGCACTCTTCTGTTGTGTCTCTTGTTCATATTTTTTTTAAAAAAAACAAACAAAAAGCAAAAGCAAAACATAAGCTGTAAGAATTCCTCACGACATATCTATCAATTGTCCATGAAGGATCTAATTCTTTCAATATATAGAAGGGAAAATGATATTTTTAAGGAAGAAAAATCAGATATAATCCACTGAATAAATGTCTCCTACTGGCTGACAACTGTCCAAACTCCACACAGGCTAGCACAAGCCTGCTGCTGCCCTTTCTTGATTGACACTTCTGACACTGATCACATTCTATGGGCTCCAGGATCAGTGTTTCCCTCTCAAACTCCTACAGTCTGCCACAAGTCTTTCTAGCCACAAGACACAGATACCTGTTCTCCATCTTCTAGAATGTCCTGCTACTGTCTCACTGCTGTCTCCTCTCAGTCCACCCTCCAGGGGCTCTAAGGTCTCTTTGGAGCAGCCCTCCCTGCCAACCCTCAGCTGGTCTCTCTATGTTCAGGCCTCTGCTTCATTCACAACATTGGTCTTCTTTCAAAAGTTTGATGTGTCTGTTGTTGTGATCTGCTCTGAAATCAAAGACATCAGAGTCATTTGCTTGGCAGGTGGGGTAGATGTTGGAGAACACTGGTTTGCAAATCTCTGCTACATCCTGTGAGACCACAGTTAGAGGGTAGGCAATGCCTTCTTCCTCTTTCTCCTCCTCGGTCCCCTTCTTTAGTTTTTCCTTCTCCTTAATGTTTTCTCTTTGTATTCTGACCTTTGCATTTGTTTTCAGATGCTTTAAGTCTTGTACACATGGGATTCAGGAAGCTAGCTGTCTGTCCTGTACTTTTGGCTAAAAAAAAGTGTAAAAAACATCCAATGATATGGGGAAAACAACATTTTTTTCACAGAAAATAAAGATGTTTTGAAACAGTTACTAAAATTGATATGCATATTTAAAGTCTATGTGACAGTAGTAATATTTTTAGCTGAGAAGATTCATGAACTGTTTTCTTTTTAGTTGAAGTCACTCTGTTTGGAAACAGGCAATTCTATTCTGCCAGTGACTCAAGCTGATCTCGGGTATTTGATGAACTTTCTCCCCTTTGCTCCCCAGTGCTGAGATCA